AACTGGTTGTATGAATATTAATATGGTGATGATACCAGAAAGATATGTGAATGTGTTTATGTATTTAATCAACCAGAACTGAAGCTACTGCAGCATGGATTGGAAGGTATATGAAACAAATTTGATGTAATAGGCCATATAATCATTTTGTATATTATGCAAAAACCTTATGTGGACAATTTAAAGCTATTGATGTTAAAAAGTTATATATTGAAATATGGAATAAGGTGATCATAATAGGATATAACGGATAATCTAACAAACGTGATGAGTATGTGTTTGGATGTTTGCAATGTTATGAGTGTGGTATATAAAATTAAGTGATCATTGTGAACAGTACTTCATCAAAGTTTTGTTGTGAATCATGAGATTATTAAATATGGTAGATTATTTTGTTGACAGTTGTTAAGATCCAAACAATCAAGTCCTCGGGTAATGCAATTTTTTAGAAAGATCCTATGGGACAAGTTAATTATGATAAATCAATGACATTGATTAGTATATGTTGGATGCTAGAAACATTAAGAGTGGGGTACATTGATAGCAGAGTGTGGATCTAAGGTTACATTGTAGGTTATTGGAGTCTAATATATGATTTATRTWTCMTTGTGTGAAACTATAAGATGGATTTTCACGATTTTGTAGGGACAACCTAAATGTTTTAGGGACAATATCAAGTTTGAATCTTAAAAGCAGGATAAGTGGAGATCGTTGGTTGAATTTTTAGGTAGAGGTTCATGGTAGATCAAATGTCGGTCAAATTAAGGAAAATCAATGACGTTATGAGTTGGAATTGGATATTAGAAGTGTTATGAGTGTAGTATATACAGTAAGTTGATGTATGAAAGTATTATTGTGAATCTTGAGTACGATATTACTAGAATATTTTGTGGACTATGTAAGGATACTCAAAATTTGTATAGGATGTGTTGTTATAACTGCACATTGATGCTACGAGACAAGTTTGATAAAATTTAATGTAAATCAATGAATAGGTATATGTTGGATGTTGGCATTGTTATTGGTGTGGTATAGTAATTCTCTTGAGATACAATGACAAAAATTGAAGGGTGATCGTGAGTCTTCTACTAAATTATTACTTTTAGGATTAACAAACCATGTGGTGACTGAAGATGGATTTTAATGAATTTAGAGAAAAACAAGTATGAAACATGAGTTTGAATATTAATTGTTTGCTGGGCGATTCAGCAGGCCAAATAGCATTAATGCGATTCGTTCACGTACTATCCTATAGAGCAATTCAACCTCTTATTAAGTGTTAGAACAATCTCGTATTCTCGTTCGGTTCACTCCCACCTGTCTTCTTCCAATCATAGTGAACTTTCAAAAAGATCCTTCATTTCACTACAATTGGAACCTCACTAGCCTTTTCGGGCAGTTACTCTAAGCTAGGATCTATGCCAGATTTCTTCAATTGTTTCGGTCGCGGAAAGCGCTCCACCTGAATTATACCTATTATTTCATGAAGTCTGCGATAAATGCTCAAAGTTGGTTTTACTCTCAAATAAACAATTAAAACTGGAGTGGAGCATACCCGAGCTTATTCAGGCTCTAATGGGAAACGAAGCTGTTCAAACCCAGCCAAGTCCCGACCTTACCAGCACCGGGGGTGTACTAACCAATAAACCCCAGAAACCTACTTTCTTTTCTGACAAAATCAATCAAGCCTAACCGGTCATGACACGTTGATATTGATTGAGTTGTAGGGACTTCCAATTACTGAATGGAACACATTGATTCCGCTCATTCCCGTCCTTCGTTTCAAGGTTGTCAGGTTGGAATCCCTCTCCATCCGTGAGGTCATAAGTTCTCCCTTGCATTATTTATAGATAAGACGAATTGGACCTCGACTGATATGATGATAGATATGATGGTTAACATGTATGATGATTTTAGTGTCATCAACCATTTGGTGTAGTTGTGATTTACTAGAGATCTAGTAAGATGATGAGGCAAACATAAGTGAGTAAGGGGGTGCGGAGTGCACACACACAAATGTTGCCCCTATCACCTTAGATCGCCATAAGGCGGGGGTCATGGGGATCGTGCCCCCTTGCAGGGTTCGAAGGGGCAGAACCCCTTCGCGGTGGTCTGGGGGAAGCGTCCCGAGGTTTTTGGAATTTATGAAGAGTCGAACTTATTGAAAAATCTTGCCAAGTACAAGTCTGGACTAGTGTAAGAAATGACTGATCATCCAGATCAAAGGTCTAATATCGCAGTGAAATTAGACCAAGTGTCTTAACTCTAGCTCTGCTGTTCAGTCCTAAGTCTGGATTAAGGGGTTGAGATCTGGATATGTTTCTTCAGACTTGTTCCAGACTTGGTCCCAAGTCTGGACTAACGAAGTCCGACTTAGTCCCAAGTCTGGACTAACGAAGTCAGACTTAGACTCAAACTCTGATTGTTCTTCAATCTTATCCATTAACGGTTACTACAGTTTAACCGCCGTAACTGTCGATCTCTCTTATAAATACACAATTCATGATCTGAGTACATATATATACAAAATCATTGCCTTATTTTGTGTATGTTTCTTCTAGATTATCCCGGTACTGATTTCGTGTAAATCTAAGGCATAATAGGGGTGAAATACAGTATTTGGAAAGTGATTTCCAAACACGATCTAGAAAAATATCCAAGTTATATTCGACCACAGAACCCAATTCCCCAACATAGCACCTTATGGCTGTATTTATCCTGAGAACCCTTGGGAATATTCCAAGACTCGGCTGATGCTTCTAGGCCTACATGACTAGCCAAAGATGCAATTTGTATACCAAAATCTGCTCCGGAAGCTCTTTGTTGGATAAATCTGAAAGAAATATGATGGAGTCATTTACTGATCCATAAAATCTTCCTTTGAGATATCACAGCCACGATTATCATATCCTCCTTAAGATAAGTTATAATATCCGTGTTCTGTTAACTCGTACAAATTGGGTTAAATGAATTTTTGGTAGAATTATGCATAACATATTTGTACCCTATTCTTAACCAACTTGTACTAGTTTTGTGTCAAAAGTTGAGTTTATACATATTTTGGCATAAAGTTGAGAATCTAGACTTGTAGGGTCAAAACCGTCAAATGGTTAAACTTTATATATATATATATATAATTAAATAGAAAAAGGAAAAAAGAAAAAAAAATATATATACATATATGATTGTGATGGCGGTCTCTCAATTCTCTTTTCATCACCGTCTCAATTTTCTTTTTCTCTCTCTAAAAATCTCTCGATTTCTCTCTAAATTTCACGTCAAGTTACTAAGGGGATCGAGACAACAATTATATATTCGGAATCCACTCTACGAACCCTTCTTAAAGGTATAAATTTCATTCAATTTTATTAAGGTGTTTATATTAGGGTTATTAAGACCGGTTTATAAACTGTGTTTATGTCTAAGTTTACGGATTGATGTTGTCAAAATTATGATATATTTGATGTTTAGGATGCTAGGACTGGTTAAATTGATGTAGAAATGAAAAGGGTATATTATAGTTTCAATATGGTTAGATTGTGGGTATATGTTTAACCGTACACCAATTGTTCGGTTAAATGTCGAAAAGAGTAAAAATGCATGATTAAGCTTAGGTTAACGACCATTAGACTTGTTTTACTGTTTAGTATGTTGAAGCATGTTTATAACATGTAAATGTAGCGAATCAAGAAAGTTGGATCATAAAAGTTAGTCGGGAATTACGGAATCGAATTTTACCGACAATGCAACTTCTGTACTTTGGCAGTATATAACTCACAAACCGTAAGTCAGAATAAGCTCATATTTTGCAGTCAGAAAGATCTTACTGCATACTACAACTTTGATGAAGGATCGAAAATCCAGTTATGACTCTAGGTGGCTCGAAACAGTATGTTTTTGGGGCTGTTTACACTGTATTCGGGAATAAATTGCAGTTTTGTAAAATTCATATAAAATAGATGGATGATCCAAATGAGATGATTTCAAAAGAATTAGACTCGTATGATACCAATCTACAACTTTCATTTAGACAACATAATATGGATTAGTCTCTAGGTTAGGTAAAAATGCTTAGAAATAAGATGGACGGAAGCGGTTGGATTGAAAGAGAATAATGCTAAGTTTTACGTTTGAGCTTTAAATTCGTATCCGGCTGTCCTTCTTGAAGTCTACGTTGTTTAAGTACATTAAGATCTAAGTAATTTTATTAGAATAATTATATTATGATTTCTATGCTTCATAAATAGTAACTCGTTTATGCATTCGTTAGGTACGCGGATAAATCAAACTTGATCGTGAATTAATTGTCAAATTCGGTTAAGGTACGGATTTCATATCTCACTTGACACGGGGAYAGCCATTTGCGTAAGGCTTCCTAATCCGGATAATCTGTGATAAATTCCGAATAATTTGTTCTGAATTTCCTTTATGCTTATCAAATATTATTGAACTTTGTTTCCCTTTGAACTACGACTTATATTTTTATTCGGAATATGGATCATTTTGATCACTTGACTTGTTTTATTGCTTCATTTGTGAAACATTTTAATATAGACTCAATAACTGGAGCACCGATATTGAGATGTTTCCATGGTGACTAAAACGATCATGGCGTCCTCATTTTTTGTAGTCCTTAAAGGTGAACTTGATTATGTACCGGTCGAATAGAGGGCGTATGGATCGATCCTATGAACCGTTATCGGATAATGAATTGTTGGCCGTGGTTAAATTCACGGAGAGGATTGTTGTGTTGTGCTCACACCCCTTTCCTCACTTGTGCCTGAATGGACTGATCATCCTTTGGGAACAATGCGTCCTCGTGATGCGGTTTGGTCTTCAGACCCTTGACATGCTTTTGGGGCATTATGACTTTTTCTTTTGGATTATCATTTGGCCTTATGAATTGTTTTTGAACTTGTTATCTTATATTCATTGTTTAGTTATATTATTATCCGTTCACTGAGCATTAAGCTCAGCCGAGATTTTCTTGTCCTCGGCAGGTACATGACTTAGTAGGGATTTTGGGATGAGAGTTACGGAGATGACAATATTGAAGATAACCCATTACGTCATACTTTTGTAAACTTTTGATGACTAATGTAGATATACTGGTATTTTGGGACCGTATTTTGAGACACGTTATCTCCGTCTGTGGTTATGTATTTATCTTTTGGCAAATTTTATTAGCTGCTCTGGTTTATAGAATGCGTTGTTTTTTTACCACTTGTGGCATCTCACGTCTTTGACCACGCGGGACGGGGGTGTTACATAAGTAATTGATGGATGGGATATGAACATAAAGTTCATCCTTTATTAAAGTAATACTATGAGATTTTCATATATAAGTTTGTTGATGTTTCATGTGTTGTACTTGTGTGAGTGGAATCATCGATGACAATGTTTCCTATTGCTCTTGGTTCTAGGAATAGGAAATCTACACCAGATCTTCTGACAAACTGTGATGTTAAATCCTTACTGATAGTTTTGCTCATCTAATGCCTTGTTTGCTGAATCCTAGCTAAGGACCTCTTTGCCACCTGGTATGTCGGTGAAAGTATCACTTTTTTATGCTCATCTTGCTTTATTCCTCCGAAAGATAGTATAGTTTATGCTTGCAAGAGCTTATATTTTGCTTAAACCAAACACATCTAGTACTCTCCATCATGTTATGCAATAAGTAAAGCTTTTAATATTTGGGGTAGCAGCAAACTGTAGATCTTTGGCATACATGTTGAGGCTATACAAAGAAATCAACTCCCATTGTATCCTACTTCTAATTTTTTTTAAATGTATTCTTAAAGTTTATTAATGTTCTACTAGATAAATACTTGACAGAACTTTGCTTCTGCATTCATTGTCTAAAAACAGATGATACATGAATATGTGGTGTGGTTTTGTTGTAGGTGAGGCCAATTCTTTTGGGCTTCCTATTTTTAAATGGACATCCTTAATCATATTCAGAAAGAAATAAATGCACAACATTTCATACCCTATTAACTAAGTGGCCTTTTCTGTAAAAACCAAACCAAATAGACCCAACATAAAGTAGAGTGGGGGATGTACATATACCTTTTCTCTACCCCAATAATAAACATGACCTTCTCTGATTAGATGAAAACCTAATGGAATTAGAATACTTTCTTGATAGTTAAAATAATTCTAATAAATTCTTTTAGACTTTACACAACTAATATGTGAACCCAAAAGATATCTATCGGGACAGTAGAAAACGCAACCAAACCAACCAATCCTTGTAACATGGCATTGTAAGTGACCACATTGTGTTTCATACCTTTTTCCTTTATTTCATGAAAGCCGAAACCTTCTCTAATCCTTCGTATCTTTCAGTTCAAATAGAAATCAAACATTTGAACGTTAAACCAATGTACACTTTGAAATGAAAAAGATTCGAAGGATTACAAAAGGTTTCAACTATTTGACCACGGTATAACAATATACAATCAGAAGTGAATATTTGTATCACCAAAAACAAACTCAATGGCACAATTGATGTAAACAAAATCAAAGTGGGCGTGCTTAGGTCAGTATTTTCTTCAGCAACTTGAGATCTATGTAAGCATCAGTGGTTGTAGATTGTACCCCTCCCTCCTCTCAGGTAAGAAGTTTGCACTATATGTCTTCATTTCAAAACTCGATGTACACTATAGTGACTGTATGAAGGTTCAACTTTCAGATTGATGTGGATTTTTTGTGGAAGTTATGATTCCTAGATTGCTATAACAAGTACTAGAAATAGGAAAATTTAGTAAATGAGCAGAATTGGTCGAAACTTGATTCGACATTACTAGGCTTGACACCATATATCAATGAGTAGCTCTTTCAATAAGGTGTAATAAAGCACACGAGAGGGTATAAAAAATGAGGTGCAACTGCAGGAGTTAGAATTGGATGTCATATGTTATAGAAGGTGGAAATAAGCACTGTTGAGAAGTTCCTGTTCAAAGATAAAATTTTCTAAAAAAGAATTCTCGAGAGTCTGTATGTGATGTAACGTGAAACTAATCAACTCGAGAAAAATATCCGCTCATTAGAGTTTTAGTTCAAGAGAAAGAGGATCCAACTTTGATTTCGTTGTCCTATATGCTTTTAGAAATTTATACAAGTGTCACATCGAAGAGAAATTACATAAATGGGCATTTCACTTAAAGACATGGAAACATGATCTCTATGTCATGTATGTTTTTTGGTTGTCTCTGTTACCCTTTCTGATCTGCAAACACATATATAATGGAATGGAACCTGAAATATGAAAATGTAACAGTAAGAGAGTGAATAATAGTGACTAGCATGCAAAGTAAATAGAATAAGATTTGTAGCAGTAAGAGAGTGAATAATAGTGACTAGCATATCCGGTTCTTTCATGAAAGGGTAAACTCTAATTTTGGTCCCTAAGGTCTAGTGAAATCTTTGAACGTGGGATGGTGGGCTCAATAACTCTAGAAATAGTCCTTGTGGTTTTTATTTTGCTCTGAAAGTAGCCCCTGTCATTAACTTTTCTAAATGTTGTATGCTAAATGAGGGTCAATTTAGTCATTTTACTTATTTTCTTCATTTTTATTAAAGAAATTAGTGTACAAGTATATGAAGCTTGAGTACAAATCTGATTAGCATATAAGAAAAAAAAAAACAAAAACCGAACTGCTCCTACCGTCCCATCCCTCCTCTTGAAGCCCCCATCTCCAGTGGAAAAAAAAACCCCATCTCCGGTGTCCTGTGATTTGCTCCCCCTTCGTCGTCCCAATCAATGGTGTAAGATGGTTAAGAAGGTTGCAGATGGGTGCACTTAGGGGTGTAAATGATGTGAGTCGAGCTCGAGTATCAATATACCCGACTCGAACTCAACAGCCATTTCCGAAGCTCGAATACGAAAATTCGCGAGTAGTTAAAAACTAAACTCGACTCGAACTCGATTGCAATTTTTTAAACTCGAACTCGAGCTCGAGCTTGAACTTGTTTAAAGCTCAAACCAAGCTTGGACTCCTACTCGAATCAAGCTTGAACTCGAACTCCAATCAAATTCACCCATCAGAATTTATGAAATTTTTGAGGGTCGGTCTTCTCCTATAAATTATAAAATTTAAAAATGTTCTCTTAAACTTTAAAAAACTAAAGAGATGGACATCGTCAAGACAAAGTTACAAATTTTATTCACCTCCCTTTCTTTTTTATAACAACTATCCATCCTTCTTTTACCATCTATCTTTCAATGTGGTACAACTTCACCAACACTTCTATAGCTTTTTTGTCTTTTTTAATTATAATTATTGATTATTGATATAGTTTTTATAATAAAAAATGCACAATATTTTCAAATATCTAAAAATATAAAACATTTTTATTACATTACATTATATATGTTATATTATAAAACTAATTATATATAAGAAATCGAGTATCTCACGAGCTTTTCGAGTCGAGTATTGGGTAGCWTGACTCGACTCGTTAATATGTTGAGTCGAGTTCGAGTTTGAGCCGAGCCTATTTGAGTTGAATGTTGATCGAGTTTTAACCGAATCAATCTCGAATAACTCGCGAGTTGTCTCGTATCATTTACATCCCTAGGTACACTATGTTATAGAATTTGTACTCAATAATTCACCATTACTCTTCTCTTTTTATGAATTATGTGTACGTGTCTGCCATACGAAGGTGCACGTGCAAACCATATCTCGCATCTTTAGGGCAAGGAGGCCGGCAATCTCTCAAGTATTCACCATTACTATGCCCTCTTTATGTCTTTGAGTTGCTTTCGTCCCCACACCGTTGTTGTCACTTAGATCTAGGAAACAAATTTCGTTTGTACTAAGATATTGAATTGAAACAATACCAGAAATTTATATATATAATCGACATATATATATATATATATATATGTGTGTGTGTGTGTGTGTGTGTATAATTGTTAGAATTAAAAATCAAGAAACATAGACCAAATTCAATTGTCTTTATTGCTGCAAAGAGGGCTTATAAATAGCCAAAGCTACAACTGAAACAAGCTAAAAAACAGGAAGAACAAAACAGAAAAGAGAAAACATATAAGCTCCTAAAGAATAGGATTATTCAAAAATAGAAAAGACCAAGTAAAAAAGACTGCACATGGACTTTTACTTCTTCACACTCTCCCTTAAACTAGATTGAGGTTCCTCAGCTAGTTTACTCTTGATTGAACATACTCCAAGCTTTTCTCTCAAATTCTCAAAAACTTCACGACTCAGAGGCTTGGTGAGAATGTTGGCAACTTGCTCTCGTGTTCCACAGTGTTCCAATTGAACAGCTTCATCCTTAACTAAATCACGCAAGAAATGGAAACAAACTCTTATGTGCTTGCACCTTTCATGAAACACCGGATTTTTTGATAGCTTGATGGTGGAGGTGTTGTCACAATTTATGATTGTACTATTGCTATCTTCAGCCCCAGTTCTTCAAGTACTCCTCTGACCCAAATGACTTGACAAGCACATGTTGCAGCTGCAACATACTCCGCTTCGGTGGTCGAGAGAGTAACAATGTCTTGCTTCTTCGATGACCATGCTATTACCCCATTGTCCCATAAGAACACATAATCAGAGGTGCTCTTGCTATTGTTGTTGTCCCCTACAAAGTCGCTATCTGTGAACACTTCCAACTTTCCTTCTCCATATTTGTACCAAATGCCAAAATCAAGTGTGCCCTTTAAATATCGTAGCACTCTTTTTGCTGCCAAATGATGCAATTTGGTGGATTTGGCCGTAAACCGACTTATTAAACTTACCACAAACTGTATGTCGGGTCGAGTAATGGTGATGTACATGAGACTCCCAATAATTTGTTTATAGGCAGTCTCATTGATTCTTTTTCCTTCTTTATCAGTGCTTAACTTGCAGCCTGGAACAATCGAGTTTACGACCACATTGCAATCTTCCATTTCGATCCTCCTTAAAATCTCAAGTGCATACCTCTACTGCGAGATATGTATTCCCTGTGTGGTCTGCATTACTTCAATACCTAGGAAGAACCTCATTTTTCCTAGGTCGATCATCTCGAACTCCCTTTGCATCGACGTTTTAAACTCTTGCATCATTGTGGCATCATCACCTGTATATATAAGGTCATCCACATATATACTTACAATTAAAATGTTACCATGCAAATTTTCTTTTATGAACAATGTCTGCTCATTTTGACTTTTCTTGAATCCTTCTTTGATGAAATAAGTCTCGATATGATTAAACCAAGCTCTCGGAGCTTGTTTTAAACCGTATAAGGCCTTGTGAAGCTTGTAGACCTTGTGTTCACTTCCCGTGACTTCATAGCCTTGAGGTTGTTGTATGTATACGTCCTCCTGCAGTTCGCCATACAAGAAAGCGGACTTTATGTCCATTTGAAAAATTGTCCATCCCTTTTGTGCGGCCAATGCGATCACCATTCTTATCGTATCCATTCTAACGACGGGAGCATAAACCTCCACGTAATCCACTCCGTGCTCTTGAGAATAGCCTTTGGCTACTAACCGGGCCTTGTATTTATTGACTTTTCCATGCTCAATAAGCTTTGTCTTGTATATCCATTTAACACCAATGCACTTGGTGTTATTTGGTAGCACAACTAGATCCCATGTATGGTTCCTCTCTGTTGCTTCTATTTCGGCATCCGTAGCGACTCTCCATTTTTTGTTTTTAATAGCTTCTTCGTAAGTTACTGGATCATGGTGATTCATTTCCACCATATTTAGCTCATCTTCTTCGAGGGGCTCGTTACTGGTGATGTAATCACTAAGATAACGTGGGGTTCTCCTTTGCCGACCCTCCCTCGCGCCTGTATTGTTGGTTCCAGCAGCCCTCGTTTCTTCATTCTCACCATGGTTGTCTTCATCATAAACGTTTTCGTCGTCTACATAGTCTTTTTCCCATTCACCATCACTTCATGTCAGCTCAGTTTCCATTTTTTCACCTTGATTGGTTCCCCAATCCTATAGCTTTCCTTCTTCAAAGATTACATCTTTATTTGTAGTGATCTTCTTTGTTTGAGGATTGTAGAGTCTGTAGCCTTTTGATTCTTCACTTAAGCCTACCAATATGCAAGTGACACTTTTATCATCAAGCTTACCTCGTTTCTGATCAGATACGTGAACATGTGCAAGGCATTCCCATACTCTAAAATGCTCCACAGTAGGTTTGGTACCACAACATGCTTCTTGAGGTGTAACATCTTTTAGTGCTTTAGTAGGACATCTATTGAGAACGTATAAAGTCCACACCACAGCCTCTGTCCAGAAAACTCTCGGCATCTTTTTGGCAGCCAACATTGTTCTCACCATGTTCATCACCGTTCGGTTTTTCCGCTCTGCAACGCCATTCTGCTGGGGCATATATGCGGTGGTCAATTGCCTAATTATTCCATGCTCCGTACAAAATTTATTAAACAACTTTGATGTAAACTCTCCGCCTCTATCTGTCCGTAAAGCCTTGATCATCTTACTTGTCTCAGTTTCAACCCGGTTTTTGAAATTCTTGAAGCATACGAACGCTTCTGATTTCTCACCAAGCAAATAAGACCAAGCTTTTCGACTATAATCATCTATAAAGCATAAGACGTACCTTTTTTCCACTATTTGATGTTCGAGTGATCGGGCCATAAATATCATAGTGTACTAACTCAAGAATCTCTTTGCTCTCTACATGCTTTGCTTTGGAATGGCCTTCCTGTGTTGCTTACTGACAAGAAAATCGGTGCATATGGTTTTGCTGACCTCAAACTCCGGCATCCCTCGAACCATATTCTTCTTCTGTATCATCTCCATTCTTGTAGTACTTAGGTTCCCATAACGCTCATGCCATAGTTTGGAGAGATCTTAATTTTTTGAATATAAACATCCTTCAGTCTTCTTTACGGTATCCGCTCTAGATTGATCGAATACTGGAAACATGAGATTTGTACTCATACTACTTTGAATGAGCAACCCCTTTTGGGGGTGATATATCTTACATATATATCGTACTGTATAAGGATTGACAGCCCCTTCTCCTGCAGTTGGCCCATGCTCAAGAGGTTATTCTTGAGTTCTGGTACGTAATAGACTTCACTTATCACATATGCACCACCATTCAACATTAGTTTTACCTGTCCCTTTTCGCTGACCTCAATTCGTGTATTATTTCCCAACTGACGGAGTGAGAAAAACTCACATCCAAGGTGGTAAATTTCTCAATGTCTCCGCACATATGGTTTGAGCCACATGAATCCAAGAACCAAACATTGTTCTTCTTCGTTTCCTCGATTTGTGCCATGAGCATCATCTCATCCTCCTCTTCGAACTCTGCATAGTTTGCCTCCCTCCATGTTGGGAATGTATACTGGAAATGACCCAATTTGTGGCACTTGTAACACTCTGTGGTTGCTCGGTTATATGATTGTCTTCCTCGGCCCCGTCCTCTTCCTCTAAAGCTCGAGCTTCCTCGACCTCGAGCCCCGTGCCTTCATCGAAGTGGACCTTTAGGACTTGCTCTTCCTCCTTGTCATGTTTGTTTAACTTTTGCTCATGAACTACCAGCGTGCTTTGTAGTTCGTCTATCGACATCTTCTCGATGTCTCTGGACTCTTCAATGGATACCACCAGGAACATATACTTATCTGTGATTGTCCGCCAAAAAATTTCAACTATCTTGACATCGGGCATCGTTTCTCCATTGCTCCTCATCTGATTCGAGATCGTCAAGACTCTAGCAAAATACTCTATAATCGTCTCACTGATTTCATTTCAAGGACCTCGAAATCTCTTCGTAGTTTCTACAGTAGTGACTTCTTAACTCGTTCATTCCCTTCGAACCTCTTCTTCATGGAATCCCACACGGTTTTTATTGTACGTCTATCAAGAATCTGTTCAAACGTTACCCTATCAATCGCTTGATAGAGGTAATGTTTCACTTGTTGATCCTTAACACGGGCCTCCTCCAGTCGCTTCTTCTGTCCCTCATTGAGAGCAATACCAGGTGAGGGTTCTTCAAAACCGGGGTCTATCAGGTTCCATAGTCGCTTCGCTTTCAAAAGGTTCTCCATCATCTCACTCCAGTGCTCATAGTGTCCGTCAAAATGGGGCACCTTCAGCTTCTCCTCACTCATTTTCTATTCTCGGTTTCGATCAATCTCAGCTCTGATACCAGATTGTTAGAATTAAAAATCAAGAAACAGAGACCAAATGCAATCGTCTTTATTGCTGCAATGAGGGCTTTTAAATAGCCAAAGCTACAACTGAAACAAGCTAAAAAACAGGAAGAACAAAACAGAAAAGAGAAAACTTATAAGCTCCTAAAGAATTTCATTCAAAAACAGAAAAGACCAAGTAAAAAAGACTGCACGTGGACTTTTACTTCTTCAATAATTACATATGAAAAACAACAATGAACTGAGTAAGAATTTGATCACTAACTTGATTATCTTGATGTGAATCCAACGAAGAACTAGTCTGAGATCGAGGCATGCGGTGGCAGTGTCCTTACACAGAAATTCATCTGGTGTATGGTGAATTGGACGACTATCTAGAGGATACAACAATTCGTTCAAGAAACAAACTTGAACCTGACGAATCAATTATTCTTCCATATGAAATCCATTAGAACCAGGGAGGCAAAAACCCAGGAATATTTTCTTATGTCTGCCAAAAAAAAGTGAATTGGAGGAGTATATATCATATACCTTAACTATCGGGTGTAACCGACGATAACTGTCAGATAGAGCCGAGCCTCTGCCGCATCCTGTTTCCTGTCAACAGGCCAAACTCACTAATGTTATCAACAGACCCCATATGATTATTCACTGTCGGTTATTATTCCTGGTTCTCCTCTAGAATTCACATACTTTATTTTCCCACCTTCATATGATTATTCACTTGGTATCAGAATCCAAACTCGGTGAACCCTTCTAGAATAATTGCAATTACACATCAAAAAACCAAACCCGGCACTCATCATGCCTAACAACCATTACAAACCCAAACATTCTCAGTGACGTCAAATATGTAGAGCGAAAAGGATGGGTATGTGTCTTCATTGAGCATGTAATTGAAATATACCTCTGTATAGACAAAGAAATATGTAAGAAAATGCATGAACACAAAGAACAAAACAAAGGATTTTAGGACCACTTAGTAGGGAGTTGGCTAAGAATGAGATACATGGGAAACCATAATTAGGTGAACCGTCTTAGATGGTCAGTAGGCCAAGTCCTTTGGTGTGCTCTTTTTTGATCTGCTATAAATGCCTCTGTTGATGTTCTCTTGCTATGATCCTCTGCTACTTGCTTATGCATTCAAGGGTCTATGTTGATGACAAATCATCATTTTCTGATTTGTTAGTGCTACCATTATACTCTTTTAGGGGTGGAAGAAGAGAGAGTGTGCTTTTGCCTTCTCCTGGGTGTTTTTTTGATGTAGAGTCGGTCTTATGGCCATCACCTACTGAGTCATATCTATCACTGACGAATACGACCTCAACCGTAATTCTTAGTGTCGTGATAGCCTCTGTAGTGTCAGAAATTGGTCTTGGATCTGAACCTGCCTTTACTGTTTCAGACTATGATTTCTGTTCGCCAAGTGGTATATTTCCTTTTCCAGTTTTGTTTCATGTGTTAACTATTAGATACTTGCTACAAGCATGTTATCCCTCAAAAGAGTGGCTTTTTCAAATCTGTCAGCTCAATTGAGATCCTAATGATTAAATGCAATTACACCATGGAAATTTCGGTAATGTCAATGTTGCTAAACAACTCACCTAGTGTGAACATCCCATCACTTACTATGTTAGTAAAAATAGCATGTTCAACTGCTCTTAACCATCCAATACAACAAAGGCAACCTTGGCATCTACCTTTCACCATTCCCAAAAAGGTGCTTAGTAAAGTAACTTCAGCTATWCCAAAACTACCTTCCTCTTGAATGCCGAAGTCAAGGCATTCCAGCAACCACACAAACTTATTTGGAATTGCACTAATATCTGTAGCTTCAGCACCTTATGCTTTTTGTTTCCCTAAAATCATCAGAAGAAACCTCATTCTGAAATCAAAGTATAACTTGTTRAAAACGTGCCCTTTTTTTACATTGGTTCCCCTGGAAGCACTATGCACTTGCCGGCAAGTTGAYTTATCCAAAAAGTAATAATCATGAAACCATATAAGTGAGCTGGTTCATGCCTTTGCATGCTATTCATCGTGATGAAACCATATAAGTGAGCTTGTTCTGGTTTGTAGTATTGTTGTTACCTTTCTTATTCGTTACCATATTTTTTTTTACTGTTCTGTGTGTTGCTGCTCTTATTTGATGACAACGACTATTTCTCATAGAGAAATACAAGCATAAGCCTAGCTGGGTTTGGGCCTTCGTGCATGATATCCTGGAATTCTTGAATTCCATTCTCACATTTGTTGGTTTCCAGGTGAATTACTGGGGGTGCATTAGTAGGTGTGTGGAAGAACCCCTCCTCTCCCTTGGTTTACTCATCTTTGGGTGAGGTTTTTCTTATCTTTCAAGAAGATGAAATAAAGGAAAAATAAACCAAGTATAAGCTGCATCTACTAGGTAAAAATGTTGCCTAAATCTTCTTTTTGTTTCAGAACTTCCACTGTATCTTTTATTGGGTATCTTTTGTGGCCTGGTTTCATTGAGCTTTTCTTGGTGCACATCGTTGATGATGGTGGTAACTGACAAGATTCAGAAGACCTTTGTTATGCCAAAGGCAGTTTTCCCTGTAGTTGGTGGTTTTACTGTTGGACCTCTAGCCTTGATATATCCTGAAGTTCTGTAYTGGGGTTTCGAGAATGTTGACACCCTCTTAGAGTCTCGACCATTAGTGAAAGGCCTCTCTGTTGATCTATTATTGCAGCTAATAGCAATCAAAATAGCAGCAACGTCTTTTTGTCGTGCATGTGGATTAGTAGGAGGCTACTATGCTCCATCACTTTTTATTGGTGCAGCTGCAAGAATGGCGTATGGAAGACTTACTAGTTTTATGATTTCTCAACTCAATTCAATCTTTCATCTCTCAGGCATAGAGGTTGCACCACCGCAAGCATATGGCCTGGTATATATCTTTTGTTACTATATGATAAGAGAAAGATAATAATAAAAAATTATGCTTGCTGTTTCTGGATAATTTCTACTTCATTGTGCTTGCTGTTTCTGGATTATGTTGTCATTTGTTGTTTGGATGGATCATCTATTAACCACTGTATTTTACATGCCTGATGGTTCAAGACATTTAATGTATTTTTAGCTGCAAAAACCATATTGCATTGAGCTTGAATCTTTAAATAGATTGTACCTGCTAGTGGAGTCTTAAGCCAAGATATAGTGTTCGCCCATGTAAAACAGATAGCTCCAACCTGACTTGTTTGGGTCAATACCACACAACCACCAACACTTAACAATCATTCCCTTAAGATTCATATAAATTATTTTAGATAGCACATGTCTACATTACATAGGCCATAAGAAGATACATAATGCATCTGTGTTTCAACTGGAAACCAGTATTGTGATAAAACTATGCAGCTACACCTTACTATTGTTGATTATGGAGTTGCTGATAACTGATCTGATACTGATTTAACATTGTCTAGGGTCCCAACCCTTGGTCCATAACTTTAGAATGGCAATCCCAAGTCCCTACCATAACTTCTTCCTTTACAACCTTATCACCTCAACGGCTTAAACAAAAAAAATATGAAATCAGCTGACCATCATCAAATCAAGGCACGAGCCAACCTCTGAACGTAAGCATATTGACAAATCACCCCTGAACCTACTATGAATGGGACAAAGTCCCTGGTTGTGCGGGGAATGGTAGAATAGCCGAGGTGCTATTATATAATGACCCTTACATCCCATACAATGACAAGTTGCTCCTTTACATCCCAAGGCCCTCTTGATATTTAATATGTATTTGACCCAACTAGATAGTTAGGCAATTTAACACTAGTTATAGCCTTGGTAATATAAGGCACTTGAAAATTTGAGATTTGGTCTATGTGGGACAAACCAAATACCCAACAACCATTAACACATTTCGCAGCATTTCTCATCGTCTAACTCTTTTTATTTACACTAATCCCCTCTTTTGCTTTTATATATACATAAATTTGTTTCCTTTTTTCAAGTGTATGGGGTTGTAGTCGAACAAATATGAATCAAGCTAAATCATAGTAGTTGTTGATGGGTCCAAATGTTAAGGTTGTCGTCAATGATCCCAAGTTACTTTACCATAACAAGCCGCTATTCACCTCACGGGTCCCTCCAAATTCCAGGGTTTTTTTGAACTCTGAGTATTTCTTCTGATGATCTACTTCATATTTTATTTCAATCATCTAAATCCGGTCATAGTGGTGTTGCAGCCTTGCAAGTTGTCGGAGGGGGAATGATAAAGGAACGATAATTCAAACGAGGGATATTAAAATTAAAGTTTACCCAATATTAATAGAATATTATATTGATTTTTTTAAAGAATATTTAAGAAATTAGTAAATGACTAAATTGACCCTTATTTAACGGAGTTAGTGACCAGGGACCACTTTTAGAGGAAAATAGAAACCACAAGGATGATTTTTAAAATTATCAAAGTCCAGGTCCCACTTTTAAAGATTTCACTAAACCTCAGGGACCAAAAGAGTTCACTCTTTATGAAATTACGTATGATAGACTTCTATAGAAACACATTTTCTCAACTGAGTCCAGATCGTGAGTGTCGACACACGCCAAACACCCCTCTTGTCATAGGATTAAACTAGCACAAGGAGCTCAGTGAATTGATTTCTAATTAATTAAGCCAATTCTAGTTATGAACATAAAATTTGACCTATCAACTGCATTATAATCTAGAGAAGCACTAATCCTAGTTAATGATCAAACACCAAACCATTTAAATCAAATTAAACAACCATATAATGCAAGTCAGATAACTTGGTGGTTATTTGATGCATTGTGGCCGCTTAGCTGGAATCAAGAACAATTACAAATTCTCAATCACAACTAAGAATTCAAAATTAGGGTATAGGATTCAAGGAATCCTTCTCAAAACTTGAAACAAAAAATAAAGAACATTTCAGATGAGGATTGCATAAATGAAATTCAATTGATATTCAAACATAAATCAAGTCTCAGCATAATTCAAAGCAAGCGAGTTATAGGGATTTAACTACTCTCATCCTCTAATTGAGAATATAAATTGACACAAACTTATTAAAGAAATTATAAAGAATATGTTGAATATGTTTTTAGTGGAGGAGGGGTAGGGGTTAATGAACAACTGAGAAAGGAAGGTGATGGGGTCGGGGAGAGAGGGGATTCACTAGATAGGGTGGGGACGAGTTAATTGTACTAAAACAGAACCAACTTTGGATTTATTTACGAAACCGATTTTCAACAACTAACTCATGAAATTAAAAATAATACCGGAAAATTTGTATTGTCATATTATAGTTAATTTGAAAAAGAAAAAGAAAAAGAAAATAAAAGGATAATTTGTCAGTTTTAAGAGTTATTTGGTAGTTGCTAAATGGTTTGATGTAAATGATTAGATAATCGAAATGATTAAAAGGTAATTAAGGGGAATGCTAATGGCACTCCTAACTTAAAATAATAATATATAAAGAATTATATATATATATATATATATATAATATTTAATTTAAAATAATAACATAAAGATTATAGATATATATGTATATAT